GTTTGAATTCGCATTAGTTGTAAAGAGTGTATAAATCTCTCTCTTTCTATATATATATTATGAATTTACTTACTATTATGAATGTATTTACACCTCTATAGATTTTTTTCTCTCTGTCATAGATTGTTATAATTTATCCCAATGAAAAATTATCATTTTCCTAAAATGCACTCGTTTTTAATAGAAATGAACCGGTAAAAATGCTATGGTTTTCTAATTTTAAAATAACTATAGTAAGAAAAAAAAATTCGTTCTTATTTGTATTGGTTCTATTAACGCGATATTGTTTTTCTAGCAAATATTCCCTAACCGAAGTCAATTTATGCTAATAGTTTAAGATATAAAATAAAAAGTACTTTAAAAAAATGCATACAAAGGGTTTAGTTTACGTCATGAGAGTGAAGGGTTGGAACGAGTAAAACTTTTCTTATTTAAATGGAGATAAAGCGAGTGAATGTACCCTATACTTGTATTTCGTTGATTATTTATTTCATCCAAACTTTTTTGTAATATTTCTTATTTTGCCAAATATTATCAAATTTTTTTATGATTTTGTTTTATAGGCGATCTTATTAGCTTTATGAAAATACCAAGTTTCTTATTTTCCGTTCACTAGAGCAAAAACTACAAGTGTTTTAGTAAAAGCAGATGCCATTACTTTAAGCAAGATGTCATACTTTAAAACGCGTTTTACTTGAAATGTGTTTTTTTGAAAATACTTAAACGGAAGGGGGGGGGGAGGTTGGGAGCAGCGATTGCTCAAAAAGTTTTGAAAATAATTAACAGAAATTTTTTGTGTATGTTCTGTATAATAGTAGAAGTGTTTTAACTTTTAGATTTATCAATCACCGTTTTATTACAAAATTTACAGCCGCTTATGTGAATATTCACTGTTTTTTTTAGCAGTTTCATATAATGACAAAGATAAAGTGCTCTAGTTTCTGCAAAAACTAAAATATCTCTTATCCTGAAGGTCATTTCAAAAATGAATAACATAGCAACACATCAAAATTGAAAAATTGAAAATTTGTTCATAAACTTTTGGTATAGAATGGGCCGCATTTATGTTATTTTTTGTCAATTTTTACCCGTTTTTTCCCATTTTAGTAATAATATAATTTCTTTTTCTCTTCTTAATTTTAGCATATTTTTCTTAAAATGTACTATAAACAAGTCTAAAAACAACAAAAAATCTCTATATCTCTATTTAAAAAAAAAAAAATTATCGCAAGTAGTTGAATACCGTAAGCATAGAATTAATAATATAATTTTTTTCATAAAAATTATCTATTATATTTTTTGTTTTGTTCATAAAGTTTAGTTTTGAAATGGTCGTGGTAGCTGTATGGTCATGATCACAAATTGGTGACCAGCATTGCTTCTGTCGAGTTATGGGCTCGAGTCCTCGTGCCATTAAAGTCCCGCCATGTATAAAGAGCTAATATACGTTAAATTTGTCGAGGCTCAAAATTGGCTTAATGTGGAAGTTTGGTAAAGGAGAGGCTTATACTGAAGTGTCATCCGCATCACTTGTCCCTAGTTCAAAATTACCAATTACCCTAGTCAATGACCAATGGTTTTTGTGCAAAATCAAAGAGAGAATATTTCTCATATCAATCAGTTGACATTCAAATACTGGATCCTTGCTAGTCATTCCAAGGAAAAGCTTGATTCCGCAACAATGAGAGTTTTCTGGAAATAAAATGAAAATTATTATATAAAATGTATACAGTAATAAATTAAAGCTAAAATGTTGAAACTAAAATTCTATTTTTTCAATAAATAACAGGAATAAATTCCCTTATATTTTAAGTTACTTTTTAAAAAAAAAAATTGTTAAAATAACATCAGCATAAAAGAAAGAAATTAAAAAAATCTGAAAAAAAAGGAAAAACCAACTTATTCATTAAAAGCTTAAAACAGAATTTTTATCCGTATAATTGCCTTATTATGAAACAAAATATTCAAATTAGTTTCGAAATTTTAATATAATTTCTTTGTAATTACCTGTTTTTTCATATCGCCAAAGATTATATCATCTATTCTTTCCCTATTGTTTGTTATGATGCAATGGAAACGAATATTACTCTAAAGATCTAAAACTAAGTCTGCATTCTAATATTTACGAAAATTAAAATCTTAGAAAGACTGAATCACATATATTTTTATTTAATTTTAAAAAATGCTTGCACTTTTTAATGCAAGCGAAATTTATTTTTTGTTGGATTACAGACTCATAATAAACGTTTATGAAAATTTACAATATGGACTTGCGTTAAGCTTGTGATAAAAACTTATAACACGAGCACACATATATATTTCAAACAAACAAATATAAGTTCATATTATTTGCACAATGTACTTCTTTTTGTACTGTCTCTTTAATATATTTATTAATGCAAACGGATTGTCTATTCGGCATCCTTGCATAAAGCAACAGTTACTGTTTTAAAATTACGTGTAAATATTCATAAAAATATATCTATATACGCATTTCGTAGTATCTTCATACATCTAAAAGTAAATGAGACCAGTACGACTCTATGATAAAGATAGATAAATTATTTATTTTTATAGAGTTTCTTTCATTTAGCTCAATAAGTTTGCTTACAAAGGAAATTGCGCGATATGAACCCGTTTGTATGGTAATGCTTGCAACAAACTCGATTTTTACTATACCGCAATCTTTTCATTTCACAACCTGAATTCGAAAGGGTTACTTAATTCAAGTTTCCATTATATACAACCCTCTATTTTCCCATTACGAGTACCTCAACCCATCAATTTCTTCCAACACACCTCATTGTTGCTGAAACGGTCAACTAACCAGATGTCCACCTACTCAAGCACCACAATCGAATCTCGACCAACAGCTGCCCTTCAGCTCCCCTTCCCCAACTTTAACAAGAGTAAAGCCTTGCCCATCTATAAAAGGGGTAATTTTATCTAAAAGATAAAACCGACACAAGGGATGAAATATCAGGTGAACCTTCTGGGGCCCCAAACCCAAACGAAAGTTAAGAGAGTGCGAGGGGAGGGATGAAACTTAAGCCATCCAGGTTGAAACCGCTGACGTAAGGTGGAACTTGCCATCGCTTTTGACGAGGATTAAGTCTTCCAATATCTACTTGAGATTATTTTTTCAACGTTTTTTCTGATACTGCTACCCTCTTCTAATGCTGTTAACTGTTGTGTTAAACCTTTGTACGGATTCCCCAAACAGGAAGCTCTATGGATGCAGATTTACAGGGGATTATAGAACTGGAATATCATAAATGCATTTATGAGTGGTAAAAAAAAAAAAAAATAAGATTTTGCTAAAAATACTAAGAGCTAAAGGGGTGTGTATATGTATGTGGGATCAAATATAACTGGACCAATCAGGGGACAATGCTTGTGCGCATACACTTCATCGTTTTATAATGGGGTGCAGTTGGGGATGGAATTCATTCCTTTGTTGAATGGTGATGAGTGAAGACATGCCTGCCTTGAGACTGAATCTTGAAGTCTTCTACAGGTAAGGTGATCATGTCGTCTTTTCGTGGTAATTCATTATAATGGTTGTAAATGCTTGTGTCTTTGTTTACTAATTGAAATGTATTATTCAAGTGCAAGATAATCAGCTTGTGATTACCTGCTTATAATCTCTAATTCTTATAATTTCATGATCGTATGCTAATTTCAAAACTTCCTATGGAAAAATGTTTATGCACAGTAGATGGTGTCGAAATTTTTAAACAATTTCTTACAGCAGCAAGGATTAGTTTCATACGTTTTAAACTGAGCTATAATAAAGCAATTTGTTTTCCTCATATAAAGATCTATAACTCCTAGTACAGCAATATGGAATCTGTAGTCCACTGCGCAATTGCGTGGGACTCTATACGAATTTCTTTCGTTCTCTATTTTATGATTTCTCTATTTTTCTCTATCTCTACTTTACTCCCAGGCTTTGGGCCCCTAGAATCCATTGGCCCTCCCCCGCAATGCAGGGGTGCATGTTACGCCACTGCATGATGGACATGATATTATTATGTTCTGTTCACGTCTATGGAAATAAAATATTATTAACAGTTGATTTTTTGAAAAATAATCAATGACTTTGCGAATTTAAAAGGAAAGAACGAATTTATATAAAAACGAAACGAAAAAGAATGCCAAATTCTATTAGTCACAGGTGAGGCTTTCTTTTGCACAAGGGCCGGAAGTATAGATATCACCGTATTTATGATACGGGGCCCCCAAGCCACAAGGACCCCATCATGTGTAATATTCAAATAAGTGTCTTTAATTTCTTTTCCACAAAGAGCCTCAAAGGAATTTTGATACATGGCCCATTCAGGACTAGCTACGCCACTGATGGGGGCCCAGGGCCTCAAGAAGTCTAAAGACGCCACCGGTTCTATTTTGATTAGATTGTATATTTAGTGAACTTCAGTATGTTACTAAAAACTCTCTGTGGAGAGGAGCTAATGCACGTTTTATCTGTAGTTATTGAAAGCCTTCAGTTAGTATGGTAGAGAAATGTAGAGTGGGGTGATAGCTCAACTATCGTCCTCGAACGTGGCTGAAAATTATGAGGTCCACCCCCGACTTCGTAGTGTGAAGTTAGCAGACGATCCATCAATATACTGAACTACAGGGTCCTCAAATGGCATGGTCTGAAATTTGGGACATAGATGTTTCATAGTAGATAATCATCGAATTTAAATTCCGAAATCCACATAACAATAAATATATATTAAAAGAAATTAAATCAATTTCTACTTAGGTCAAAAAAGAAAAATTTTATATTAGTTACTTTTTATTGAATGTGACAGAATCACAATATTAAGTGACAAAATAGAAACGATTTTCCTTGCAATTTTCCATTTTCCTTCCTATATAGGGTGTTGGAGTATTTTTTTGTTTGTTTGTTACTATTTATTCATTATTAAATTCAATTATTCTAATAAAATAGTACAATAAAAAAGGAATCACCACTTTCTCAGAAATTAGGCCATCCCAGATGGGATTTGGACCCACGACCTTTGGATTAGAAGTCCAACGCGCTATCTATTGCGATACAGGGACACAATGAGCGATTTTCCTTTTTATATATGGGGTTAGATTATTCTTTTTTGTTATATTTATTCATATTTTAATTTAATTAACGAATTAATGTTTGAAAAAACTGTATTAACATCAAGTGTCATCCACTACAAGTTTAAAAAAATGTATTTGAATTTGAATGGAGGAATAAAAAGTATTTTATTAACAACTGAATATTTGAACATGAATAAGGAGAATGTGAAATAATATTAGGAATTGAAAAATATCTCTAGTACATAATATTCATATATGTTGTCTTTGATAAATTGATTTTGATGTGTGTATTGAGAAAAAGTAGATGCAAATTATTTTTTTCTTTCTAATTTATATTAATTTGTATTTTTTAAATTCTGAAGGTTTTAACTAGCTTTTAGAGGTATTAGAATATTTTATCAGCAAAATAATATGTAGCGCGCTGAATTTTAAAAAAAATTTGTCAAGTGTCAATTCTTTCTCTCCCTCTCCCCTTTAAATATCGAGATAGTGACTCTATAATCACAAGTTAAAGTCAAATTCTATAAAATATTTTTAAATGAATAACAGAAGAGCTACCAACACTAAACATGCAAATTTGTACGCTATTCAACCACGTCCTAACATGGAGCAGTGCGGAAGTTTGGAAAATGAAATATTCGGTTTGCTCCCCATTATAACTGTTATTAACTCTAGAATAACTTCTGTGTTAAAACTGTGTAAATTCTTTATAACTGTATCGTATTCATAAAATTAAAATCGAAACTAAGTTATTTTGATACTATTTTGAATGAACGGATTTTATTTTGATGAAGTAATGTATGTAATTTGATATATTATATGCTGGTGAAAAAAACATTAAAATATGCTAAATGCAAACATATTTGAAAAAAATAAAGAATTCTTTTAATTTTTTTGTTACTGTATTTTAATATTATTAAAAAAAATACATTTGTGTGTTTTTTAATTTTATTAGTGTATCTCAAAATAATGATAAATTTGACAGAAATAAAACTATATTTTTTATGAGATTTTTAATTTTTTCATTTTAAATTCGTAACTGGCAAAGTTTTTAATTGGCACTTTAACTGTAGACTGGAATTTTCATCAGAAAATTAATGCTTATAATTGAGGGAATGTTTCTCATGATTAATAACTCTTACGACTGAACTGCTTTCTACATTAAGATGAAATTGATGCACATTTTTTTTATTTTTGAAATTATATTCATTCTCAGAACATCTTTGAATTTAACTTACGTTCGGTTTACTTTATTTTACAACATTCATTAATCTTTATAATTATAATTATTTTAGAATAGTGTCTTCTGTCAATCACAGATGGCGCTGCAACTGAATTTTTTTTCATTCACATGCTATTGACAAGAAATTCGGTCACTATGAAAGAGTAATTTGTACAATTTTCAAAAATTTTCGTTTTCAGCTTCTTTTAAATAAATCAACTGAATTTGAGAATTGTAATTGAATTAGGTATTACTTTTTGTAAATTCCATAATTTTAGTTCCTTTTGCTTTTTGTATTTTTAGTTTTAGCATGTCTGTATTGTTGAGAATTGAGAAATTCGTTTTGTTAAGGATTAAATAAATTCTTGTCTACAAAGAGAACAATTACTATGAAAAAAACTTTGTGTATTTACTTTAAGATATAGAGTGAGTCCTTATCGATAATTATTAATTTTTATTAACATCGATATGTATAAAATTTCGTAGAAATTTAACAGAATACAACATTTATTATTTTTAGAGCGGTATGTCATGAATTGTAAAACAAACGGGGGAAAAATTTGATTAATTATTCTACCAGAATCGTATTTGATTAAAATAAAAAATCCCTCTATTTGTTCTGTAAAAACTTTCTTCTCATTCTATTTTTCTATTTATTATTATTTTTTTTATTGTTGATTTTCAAAAAGAAATCGGTAATTCCTTTAATACTTATTGAAATTAAAAATTTGTTTGATTTAGAAAATGACAACGAAACATATAATATGGGAAATGTTTCAATCTCTTCTGTCTTTGAACCACCCCTGGCTTTAATGGTCTCTATGGCCCACAATAATATGCAATAAATAGCACTTTTTAAGAAATGGGTAACTTCATATTATGGCTGGAATGGACACTCAACACTTCTGTTGCATATTCCATTCGACTCACTGTATATTTTAAAACAATAATATCAAAATACTCAAATTTTTTTTCAAATTTGAGGGCACCATGTTTTATTTTTTGCGTGTATTATATTTTCCCACAGGAAAACTATCTATATTTTACGTATGCAAAAAAATATTTGTACAAAAATTGATTTAAAATTATTATTTAGGTAAAAAAATAGAACCCACACACAGTAATAAACATGTATCGAATTAAAATATAATCAAGTGAAAAATTGTTAATTGAATATATACAAATGAAAAATTCTTAAAAACAAGAAATACAGTCACAATTCAGAGTGTGGAGTTTCAAACTCCTCCCATAAACCAAAAGATTTTTAATTTATAGCATGAAGGCATCTCGTAATTCCCCCCCCCCCTCCAAATTTGCTATTTTTGGGATTGTATTATATTGCCATCCAAAAAGAAAAACAAATTTTTAACCCAACATTAAAACTTTTTACCCATCATTCGAACGGGAAGTAAGGTTTTTCGAAAAATGTACTGGACTCCCTATGAATTTTCTTAATCAATTATGATTTTAAGTGAACGTATAATTAATTCACAAGGCAATTAAATTGTGTAGAATATTTTTAAATTATATTAATTCTATGAGCAGTTAAATTTTACATAAAATAATTAATATGTCCCTCATTGAATATAAATCATCCCTCAAATAAAATTCTCTGATTCAGCAAGGGTCCAGAACCCTTGGAACTTTCCCGAAAAAAATGTTCTCCGCAAGTCTCTGTATGTGGTCATCTCCTGTTTTCATACCTGGAATTGATTGTCATTACAAAAAAAAGGGGGTGGGGGCAAATAAAACACTCCATAATACCTTAACGGTCATTATAGAAACATATGGCAGATACCTAAATTTCATGAGAAAAACTACCCTCACAATATTACGAGAGAAAACACACACACAAAAACAAAAAATCAAAAAATTAACTCAATGCTATGAACAGATTAATGAAACCAAAAATAATAATAATACACCGACCAATAGGACATCGGCACAGATCATTAGCATTATACTCATTAATATTCCTATCGTTTTCAACGAGTTAAAGGGGACCGAAGATTTCCAAGAACCCTAAATGGTCTGCCTAGTGGGGAGGGGGGACATCAAACCACAAAGGGGGAGGAAGTGAAAAATCGGTGTCCCTTTTCAAAGAATTCCAGGTGCAATAACGACGCCAGGGTAACCCCCTCTCATTTTTTCTTTCTCTCTCTCAAAAGCACCCCCTCACCCTTTCGTGGAAAAAGTCGACCCCGCCGCGTTCCAGGAATAGATCCAGACGGGTATTGACCCATGGCTGACACAGTCAAAAGTAGACTATTTTGGCTCAAAAATCACGAAATTGGAAGAATTTGCTGCGCACATTTTTTTTTTTTTTTAACCGTGTCAGACGTCCTTATTCATTCGCGCCTTTAGACTGACAGATAGACAGTTCGCGAGGCAGAAAAATTGACTGGAATTTGGAGAAAGCTTTTGTTTTGGGGGATTTTTTTTCTCTTCGATATAGATTACTGGAAGCGGATAGATAAGTTGTGGGTGTCAATTACCTGGAGATTTGAGCAGTTTTCCCTTTTAATGTTGCGCGGGTTCTTTTAAAACAGTGTTCGTTAATTAGAATTTACATATTCCAAATAATTTACATGATGAAATTTCATCGATTTTGCCAGTGCGTGATTAACTCATTTATTCAAGGCGTAGGTAGAAAACTATTTTGGCCGTTGTCCAAATCAAATTAGTAATAATTAACGTAAGGACTGCTCTAAATATAACTTAATACTGCTTATTTTAGAATGATGTATTATAAGTACAGTTATATACGTTTTTAAAACGACACTGTTGCCAATAGCGATTGAAAATTTTTATATCGATTCTAATTGTGTAGTTAGGTATATCATTTTTAAAAAATTGAGATTTCAATAATTTATTGTGAATTTAATGTTTTTATTAAATTTTTAATAATATACTTCATTAATTAAAATAAATAACGAGTTTTACAGAATGCAATTTCAAACTATATTTGAAATAATAAGAAGTGTAGTCCTGAAATCAAACACAGTTTCCTGAAATTTATCAACTTATCTAGAATGTCTTTGTGTAATAAGAAAACCCTATGTGCTGAATAAATTGCGAAATCACATAAAGTTTTGCAATATTTTTAATATATTTTTTTCTCCTAATGTTTCAAAATCCTTTTTTTAAAAATAAAAAAAAAATTGTTTAGCACTCTAACTTCACTTTTATGCAGTATTAATACGAACCATAGTTCAAAATTTTTGTATTTCAGCTACATGTAATAATTATTATTATAATATCGCCTTCAGTGGATTCTTTTGTAGGGAACCCGTGTAAAAATAAATATTAAAACTAAGTACAGCCAAATTTTCATATAATTAATAAAATAGAATGGAGAGCGTAATTTTAGGTTAACATATAACATATATTTAAAAGTAAGCCCTACCTGAGATCTTTAAAAGTGTACAGTGTAAAGCATTGTCAAATACTCGTACAAACGGTATTTTGAAACAAATAAATCTACAAGACCCACATTCTCACAAACCTAAACACAGGCCGGCTCGCCCGAAGGTCGCATTTCGACCAAATGAGTTGAATTATTGTTTATGGCAGTGGTTCTTAAACTGTAGGCCGCGGACTTCTGGAGACCAGCAGCGCCTTTCTATTGGGCTCGCGGAGTCTCTCATGTAACGTTGAGAAGCCTTGTAAAAAAAATTGAAAGATCACTAAATTGTCCCCAATGATAAAAACTTCACTGGAACTTGTATTTTAATCAAGATAGGTTAAATAGTTGCTGGAGTACCTG